CTGAATTTCCATACATGATTCAAGTGCTTTTTACTTTTTTTTCTATTCAATATAAGTACAGAGAAAACAATTTCCTTTAGCCTCTCCTATTATCAATGCTTGGCCCCAGCTAGTTTTTGAATCCTTAGCAAGAAAACATTTTTTTCCTCCTTGTAAATGTATTTGCTTAGGAATTTCCAAGAGGAAACTTGCTTCTCTGGGCCTGAGGCCGTAATGGGCTTTAATGGTTTTTAATTACTTAACTATCTGTTGCGACATAATTAAAATGTCTTCCAACATTTCACATTTCACCCCCAAGAAATAAATAACTTCTAGGTTGTAAAATATGACTTACAGCTTCATTTTCTGAAACAATGAAGGAAAGGTTTCTTTCAGGCTGTCACATCCAGTTTTCCTGTCAATATAAAGTGCTTCTCAGCTGTGTCCCTAAATAGCCTTTGCTTCTCCCTTCCCTGCTTTTCACTCCTATTTCACATGTGTGTTTAAAGAGCTTCTGTCAGGATTAAAATATATCTTTACCTATTTTACTAAAAAACCCCGAGAGCCTTGCAAAAATAACTGTAAAAAGCCATTACATCTTGCTACAGGATTAGGGGGGTTTTTTGTCCCACGCTGCATTCTTTTCATCTTGGGAAAATGTGTACAATGAAAATAGATTAGCTGCAATTTAATCAACAAATTTGAGGTGTTCTGGGTAATGGACTTACAACAGGTTGGGAAGAGAGCTGAAAAACCAGAGCAGTGCTGCAGCATAGCATTCAAGGTTTAGAATAAGCTAATATAATTAAGATTAAATCAGATACTGAGCTTATAATTACTTCTCAGACATTTTCTAGCAGAAGATAATCTAGTAGCTTTGAACTTTTCCCAAATTCAGCCTGAAATTGTTTGTTGCCTTGATATCTATATCTCTATTTAGATACACATTTTAAGTGATAGTTAACAGGAATCAGTGTTTTCCAAAGCGGATTGCAAGGATACAAGTTTGCCTGGATAAAACATGTTTTTTAGGAGGTTTTGTTAAATTCTATCAGCTCCTGTATGTGGACAGAGCTTTGCAATTTAGCAAGAAAAAGATGGAGAAAGCAGCCATGTGACCTCTAGGAGTGTTTGGCAAAACCTCCAGGTCTCTGAAAAAAAAACCAACAACCAAACAACAAAACACTTACTCGAGTTTTCTTGATACTTCTTTGAAGTTGAGGGGAAGACTCTCAAAATTCAGCTTGTACTAAGAGTGCACTTCAGGTGTTGATCCATCTGCTGTTCTAGGAATGCCTTGTCTTTGTAAACATCCGAGTGTGCTTCAAGTGCAAGTGGAAGCTGGGGGGCAAAATGATCTCAGATTGCTCCTCTGAGCGACTGTGGGTGTAGCTGCAGGAACTGAGAGGGGGACATGTTGCCTCGGAGCTCCCTGTGCCCAGGAGAGTCAAGGAGGACGGGGCATAGCCCTAATGCAAGTGAGAAAGAAAGATCTTCAGCAGTTAAAGCAGAAAGAGCTGGAAAAAGAAGAGCTGGAAAAAGAAGAGTCGGCCGTGTGGGAAACGCTATAAAAATGCAAAGCTCTCTGAAGAATTATGTTGTAAAATAAATGATTCATTTTACAGATGGTTTGGCTTTTTGTGGGTTGTTTGGTTTTGGGGTTTTTTTATTTGTCCTTAACTTTTCTGTGGCTGTGGCTCTGCTGTTCTGAGACCTGTAATACTTTGGCAGAAACCTGGTAGGATCTGCCATGAGAAATAAACCCATTACAGGTTTGGAAATGATATACTATTTCCATGTATGTGTAGATTAACTTTGATTCAAGGGATGACATGATGAATCATATTTGCTTTTTTATTCATTTTTTATTATTCTTCTTTTTTTATTTTTATTTTTTTATTCCTTTGGAAAATTGGAATTCTCTTGAGATCAGCCATGCTTTCCCTCATGAAATGTCTCCACTTCCTTCACTTAAAATGGATACAACTCAATCATTGCATTGATGTTTGGGGTGTTTGAGATAGAAAGTATTAACTATGTGATTCTGCTGTCATGAAACTCCCATGGGAAAATTAGGACCTTTGCATAAAGTGAAAGGTTTGTGTGGTCTCATGTGAAGATGACTGTAGATGGATGTCCCAAGGAAACTTGAATAGGTATACAAAATTTATAAAGATACATGATATGCACAGCATAATAATTACTCATTTACTGAGTGAGGCAGAAATCCTGCCTGAGAGGGAGAGGGGAAAAAAATAAATAATAGTAATAATAATATATATAATGGGAAATGCAACATTGCCTAGCTGTTGAGTGCTTACATTTCTGTTGCTGATGTGCTTCCAGTGGGTGTTGGTGCCTTGGTGTTATTAAAAATATAGGCATGTGTTTCTCTCTGTGTCCCAATTTCCCTCAAGAATGGCAGTAGGGCATTAAGACACGGTTTATAATCTCAGATTCTGTTAACCTGAACTGGACATAATAACCAGAGTTGTTAGATGTGATATTATTACGTATGTTGTTTATTAACATAATTTATGTAATATTCAGTTGAGGGTACCCACACCATGGTCTACAGATCCTGTCTGGTGAGACAATCTGTACAACCTGCTCTGTTCTAATATTAATTAAGGCTGGAAAAGACCTCCAGGATCATCAAATCCAACCTTTGTGTCAAGTTACATGTGAAGGGATGATTCCATAGCCCTTCCTGAAACAGTCTGGGCACCTGTAGAGTGAAGGGAGTTGCTGCCTTTTGCTCAAATATCAGTATTTTTTTAACCAAGTGACAAAAAGAAGCTGGGATATCCAGCCACTCTTCCTCAGGATCTGTAGGAAAGGTGGTGTGATCAGACAGAGCTCAGGAACAGCTTCTAATGTTCCACCAGCATGTACAAATTTATGGCTGGAGACTAAAGGAACTCAAAATATTGAACATTTTCCTTGCTGAAACATAAAATAAGAAAAAAGAACTAGGAATAAACAGGAGAATCCTGCCCCAGATTTTAAGACTGTGAAATACTAAATCTACTAAGAGATGTTGTAAACAGCAGGAATCATTATCCTGACTTACCAGCCAGGACAAGCTCATAAACTGTGGACCAAATACCAGGATAGAGGCTAGGCTGCATTTTTCCTACCTCTGATCAGTCTTAGTTTGTTTATGGTTGAGTTTTATATTTGCTTTAGTTGGTTAAAACCAAGAAAATTAGGAAGGAGGCGAGAACATATAAATGCAAAATTAGAGTGAATAGGACTTTGTAAGGGTGGAAGGAGGAAAACAGGGGAATCTCTCTGCAAAGAGAGTGATGGAAAAGCCCTCTGAAGTGATAATTGTGCAGCATTTGAAGCTGCTTTTCAGCATTATCTGAGACTGCTGCTTGAAGCTAAATTACCCATCAGCGTCCTCTGCTGACCAAACACAGGCTTTGACATTTTAGAGTTGGAGAAGGACACCGAAGTTTGCACTTGGGAGCAGAGGTTTCCTGGTTTGACTTGGAATTAATCAAGGTTAAAATAAGAGGGGATGGTTTAGCAGGTCTGTTGTCTCATGTGCTGAGCTTTCAGAGTGCACTGCAGTTACCCTTCTAGAAATTAAAGCTCCAGTTGTGGAGCTGCCATGAGGAAACAACAATTTGTGGTGGGGGGGGAAATATTAAAGAGAATTCGAATCATAGAATGGTTTGGGTTGGAAATGACCTTAGAGATCATGCAGTTCCAAGCCTCCTTTCATGGGCAGGGAAACCTTCCAGCAGACCAGGTTGCTCCAAACCCATCCAACCTGGCCTTGGACACTTCCAGGGATGGGGCAACCACAGCTTCTCTGGGCAACCTGTGCCAGGGCCTCACAATAATTTCTGTGAGCCCTTGTCCACCTTTATTCTCCCCAAAGATTCACAGTAAACTGATGGAAAAGTGTGAACAAATTTGTACCCCAAAGTAAGGTTTTGGGGAATCCCCTTGCACATCTCTTTCCTTTCATGCCTGACAAAAAGATCCTTCTTAACACATGCACATGGGATGATGCATTTAAAGTGCTTTTTTTTTTCTTTTTCCCAAACCCAAAGAAAACATATCTGTGTGAGTAACTGAAAAGCTGATGGAGAGCCAAGATGACTCACTGATTATCTGCCAGGGAGGCAGGACAACACAGTGTCTTAATGTGAAAAAAACCTACTAGTCTGGAAATGCACACTTTAATAAAAGAATTCGTTTGATTGGGGGTTGAAAAATAAATAAATAAATCTTTTCATATCAAGATGACGTTACCAAGTCTGGTGGCTGCAGGACTGGTTGATCTGGTCTCAAGGAAAATGTCTGTGTTAACTGTTTCATTGAAGATACTTTTTTGTGTTTGTATTGGATAAGAAGATAACATACAGTGTGGGATCATGGAAACAACCTCCTTCTAATCCATCTAAAAAGGAATTGAATTATTACAAAAGATTTTAAATAGGAAAAAATAACATTATGTCCATGGAGGTCACTGGGTAGGCTGATGGGTTGAAGTAGAAACGAGCATCAAAGTTAAAACTCTGTAGAGTCTCTTTTTCTGTATTTGAAATGGAATGAAATCAGGGTGGTTAACACTGGAAGTATATTTGCCTGCCCTGCAAACAGTCCATGTTATTGCTTGTCTCAATTTCATTGCACAGCAGAGTGGAGAGGGACCTCTTTATCTCACAGGAGACAGTTTTCTCCTGGCAGCCAGAAAGCAGATCTGACACCCCTCAACCAAAACCAAACTGAGTAGCCTTACCCAAGTCCAGCCCTCTAAGCAAAGCCTGAATATTTAGTGTGACAAGATGATTTAAGCAGGAAGAAAGTAGTGTAGAGAAGGTGTTGTGTTTAAGGGAGATTTTCACTGGAAGTCCGAAAAACCAGAGAATTTCTCCATGTTGCACTGACTGCTTTCAAATAGCTATTTTTTCATTGAAAAAAAGCAACATTTTCTCATGAATTTACTCTCCATCTTCCCATTAAAGATCCATGTATTTATTTCTCTGTCTTTCTCCTCTCAGCTACGAGCCAGGAAGATGAAGTGCTGCCTCCTCTCCATCGCCTTGGCTGTTCTGGTGCTCGTTGTCATCATCATCGCGGTCTCTGTCAAGCGCTGAGCTGGTTGTGGTTTCCACAGGTAAAAGCCTTTAACTAAGTCTTTTATCACACTCTGTGAGATGGCTGAGAGACAGTTTAGGGAGCTGATTATGGTAAGAAAAAAATGTCTTCACCTGCAGGTTCAGGTCCGGCCTACTAAAATATTTCTCTGTCTCAGAAATAGCCTTAGTGGTCCTGAAATGTGAGCCAGGGTGATATTCAAACAAAACATCATATTACCCTTTCTCTGCTGTTTGTGCTGGGCTTGCTTTTACATGGATCTCATAGCAATTCTGGCTGATGGATCCTGATTCCGTATGAATTAGAGAAACAGAAGCAGTGTTAAAGACTCCAGATTGAAGTAGAGTCAGGGACAATCCAACAGCCCAGGGACAATCCAACAGCCCAGAGATGTTGCAAAGCACACTTACCTTCTGAGATGTTCCAAAGAGACTCTCTTGAGGGGCAGGAAAACAAACAACTGGAGATTTCAGTAGGGAATGAAAAATAAAAAGGGATTTTTGGAGATCTTTGCCCTGGATCTACACCTAAAGGAGTGTTGGTCTCTAGTAGGAGGACTGGGCTGTAACCTCAGCAATATAGTGAGATATCAAAACAACTTCATCCCACTGGTGAAGTATAATCTGTGACATATTGTCTCTGTAAAGACTGTACTTTAAATGTAAAGTATAAGACAAAAAGAAAGTTTTTATTTTCCTTTCTTTTGCCTCATTACCCCTGGAAAATGACTCACAAATTATTTCTGATAATCTCCTTCTGTTACAAAGCATCTCTAGCTGTCTCCTTCTTTAGAAGGTTTTCAGGCCGTTATTCAAGGGGAGATTATGAGATTTACAGATTTTCTGCCACCTAGAGGGGGTCTGTGTGGCTGATACCATGGGAAAGGTTCCAACTGGTAAAACCTGAACCCAAAAATATCAGTGAGACTTTTCCTGCAGAGAAAAAGTAGGAGCCCTGAGGCAGAAAGCAATGGAGGGTGGGGACAATTCTTAGTTTAGAGACCCCTCGTGTCCCTCAGAGACTTGAATGAAGCATGTGTGACATCACTCCTGTCCTTAGTAGATCCTGTCTTATCCTGAGGCTCACTGGGACCTTTTGCAAAAATTTAAGTGGAGATTTGTTAGCCTGAGCTATCCTCTGGAACCACCTTAGGGAAAGCACAAAGGATTGATAGATTTTTTTTAATTATTTGCTTTTATAAGAGTTCAGTGCTGCTTGGCAGTGCTCTCCTTCCACCCAAGGATGAAGGAATTGCCCCCTTTCTACTAGAAACTAGAAGGGGGTGGTTCAAAACAATCACAGAAAGATGATTCTCCACACTTTTTAACCTCTGGAACTACTTGTGGCATGATGTTGTGGATGCCAAAATTTGGGAATTATACATGACCAAAAAAAAAGAAATTGTGGAAGGATATCTACCACCTCACTGGGTTTGGATGAGGATGATCAAAAGCTCTACATTATTGCAAGGAGAAATAGCTATAAGTATTTTCCTTGGTGTTTGGCCAGCCCTGAAGTGAGGGTATCAGAAAAATGGTCCTTTAGATTGACTGAATATCGATGTTCTTACAGCACATCTATCTATCTATCTAATTTCTATGTATATTTTTATCCCTCTTTTACATGAGACACTGCTTATGGGTGCAAACAGTGATCTGTCCTGATAATTTAAATCTAGAGCAACTATAATAATTTTAATTGCATTACTCTGGTTTTACCCTGCATTAGTTTGGAAATGTGTTCCATCATGATAATCTGTAATATAATGCAATTTCTTTTAACACAGTTAAATATTCCTATCTACTAGAAATTACAAATCTTATCATCAGTTGGCTACATCTAGACACATTTTAATCTAAATCCCTGAAGTGGAGAAAGTCAGAGAACCAAAATATTCTTACAATAAAACTCCATTGGAAAACTAAAGTTAATCTTCTGTTCAGAGATCCATGTCTTGGGGGAAGTGAACCTAAAGATACTAATGAGACCCCAGGAAAAATATAATCCTCTACTTTTCATCATCAGTTTTGAAACTAATTACTAAGCTTCTAAAACAAGAGTTATCCTCCAGCAGTAAAAATGTAGGCAGAACCTGCATTAAGTTATGCTGGAACAAGTATGATTTCTGATCTTTAGAAATGGTTCCTAACCCAAATGGTGTGCAACAGATTTCATATTTATAGTTTGAAGATTTCCAGATCAGAATGTTTTCAGGATTTCCATGTCCACAATGATGCATGCAATTCTACTCTGAATTTTAACGCAAGTGGGTTTTAAAATATAAGTGGATTTCAAAATATCAGTGTATTTAAAGATTTAGCTACCTCAAGAAACCGGTTCATATAAAACTGTCTTACATACTTTAGGGAGAGGGAGAACAGCTGGATTTTAGTGTGTAACAGCTCTACATGACTCTTCAGAGAAAACAAGAGGGAAGAAAGCAAGTTAGGAAACTAGTTACTAAACACTGTGGTTGGCATAGGACAAATCACTGAATAAAATCCCAAATTCAGTGATGACTGGCAAGAACTTCCATTTAACATGTCATAAAGAGTTTGCTCCATGCTGGATAATTCAGGAGCCAAAAGAAACAGCACCAGCTACTCCATTCCAGTGGTTTAAGTGCCATTTCCAGGATATTAAAGGTAGGGGCTTCTTTAGCTTTTCTCAGTGGCAATGAGAATATGAAGGTCACTATTCAGTGAGTCAAAGAAATTATGCCATTAATATCTATGATTATTAATATTGTTTTGATTATTAGCATATAAAGTGTTCTTCCTTTTTTTTTTAATTTTTATTTGGTTGATATTTCTACTTTTGCAATAATGATACTGAATCAATGGTTCGTCTCAACACCACAACTCAGACATGACTTGGACAGACAAGCCCGTTCCTTCCAGGGCAAAGATCACTTTATGTATCTTGAGAAGTAAAAAGCAGTTTTTCCCATGAGTTTTGCAGGCAGTTGTGCCACCCCTGGCTCTGGCTCCGTGCGTGCAGAGGGCCCAGCTGTTCAGGAGAGCTCTGAGCCCCGACTCTTTGCCCGTCCAGGCCTCTGCCATAAGTGCGTCACTGCTCCCTTGGGGCAGTTTTGTCTGGCAGGGAGAGGGAAGAGCATGTACAGAGACTGAAGAGAAACTCCTGAGGACTTCTGTCTGTGTGTTTGTTTGCTGACACCTTAGGAAAATAGCCCAGGAACTCTTGGGTCACGCTGTGCACATCCTGTGTCAGCTCTGCAGCTGCTCCTTTTGCTGCCACAGCCAACATCAGTGCCCATGTAAAAGGACGGGATTGCAGCAGCAGTCTGGGAGAAGCCTTTTTGTTAAAAACATCTTTGTACAGTGTCAATATTTCTTCAACCTAGACAGACCTTCTGTGCCCTTCTTTTGACTCATTTGGATGAGTGCACACTTACCCAAAGTGACAATCAAGACTGTTGGAATCCTAAGCCTGAAGCATTATTTATAGGAAAATAGAGGTGACAAACTCTGAGAAAGATGGTAAATGGGTTTGATGTTTAGAAAATGTACTTTCCAGTGACAACTTAATCATCTCAATCCTGTTAGGCAAAGAGAGAGAGAAGGAATGATGACTTGACTGCTCCCTTTTCTTGGAAGAAGTCATTGCAACAGAGGGTGCCTTCCTCTTTACCAAGACACCTTTCTATCAGACAAAGGTTGCTGGACTGAGCACACAGACTTTGCTGTAGAGATTCCTTAAATCCCATGGGCTTACTGTGCTTTCCAGCCTTACAATCTGCCAATGAATAAAGAGGCAAGAGACCCAGAGGAATAAAGCAGTGTTTCCCTTCTTGGTGGATGATGCAATGGTTGATAGTGTTGCTCAGCTATTGAAAACAGAACAACAGTCAGGAGTACAAGTGATCATTAGTGACTGGATGTGGCACTTAGTGCCAGGCTTTAGTTGACATGGTGGTGTTCAGTCAAAGATTGGACTTGATGATCTTGGAGATCTTTTCCAGCCTTTATGATTCTATGATTCAGCAAATTCTCCCAACCTTCAGTGACTTAGAGCTCAAAGTCTTCCTGATATAGGAGATAGTTATTAAATCTTTAACAGCCATTGAGTAATTCCTTTCCTGGTAATTTGACCATTTTCATTTTGAAACATTATAAACTTTTAAAATATGAAATACCCTGAGCAAAGAGTTCCACTCTGATTACACTCACCATATGATCTTGAATGTACAGATAAAAATTCATAGAATCATAGAACAATTTGGGTTGGAAGGGATCTTAAAGATCATCTCGTTCCAGCCCCCTGCTGTGGGCAGGGACACTTTCCACCACATCAGGTTGCTCAGGCCCCATCCAACTTGGCATTAAACAATTTCAGGGATGGGGCATCCAAAACTTCTCTGGCAACCTGTTCCAGTGCCTCACCATCCTCACAGTAAAGATTATTTTTCTAATATCTAACCTAACATCTTGGACAGCATCTCCTGAGCAAGGCATAGTCTTTATGAAAAAGTAATAATCCAGCTTTAAGTGTGTGTTTCCTGAACATGCAACTGCCTTGTTTTGAATTTAAATTGAATTATGTATCATAGAAAAATAGAAAATATTGGGTTAGTTTGGATTATTTTGTTTTCCTTCACAGTTACAGCTTTCCCTGCATAATTCATTTATGGGTTTCTTATGTGATTAAGTGTTTTATGTAACCTGATCAGTGGGGATGAAGCTCAGACAGTTTATTTTAAATAGTCCATTTCTGGTGTTTGTTTTTTCCCTTTCTTTCAGACCTTATGTTTTTTTGCTTGTGCTTGGTTAGGTTTTTTTAGTACCTCATGCACTGCAGAGTCCCTGTGTTCTGTACCTGATCCCACCAACAAATGCAATCACACACCCTGTGTGTGTCAGGGTCAGGAGGGCTGTGGGTGGCAGAGAAGGAAAGATTGACAAGTGGCTTTGTGATACTTGGCATTTACAGCTCTGGTGTTCCTTCCAAGCAGAAGACAAGTCTGGGCACCTTCTCCTGACACACACAACAGAAATTGTG